TGCCGGCCAGCCCGTAGCGCTCCAGCGCCTCGGCCACCAGCTCGCGCGCCGTGGAGCGCGCCGTGGCCAGCACGCTCTTGTAGTTGGCGCCCGACGCCAGCCCGGCGCCGAAGATCTTGAGGACCCCCGGGGGCGCCGTGGCGCGGGTGGCCAGTGGGGGCTCGGGGGCCACACCCGCCGCCAGCTCCGGCAGCTTCTTCTCGCTGGCCCAGCGCTGCGCGGCCCCCGGAGTCCCGGGGCCGCCCGCGCCGCCGGACCCCGTGGCCCCGGTCCCCGAGCCCCGAAAGAGCTGAGAGATGCGCTTGGCGCGGCTCCCCGAGGCGCCCCCAGCGGCTTTGACCGCACCTACTCGCCGCAGCTCCACGTGAGGCGGCGGCGGGGGCAGCGGCTCACTGCTTCGGCTCCCCGTGTCGGAAGATGAAGACCTGGGGGGCACGGGGAGCAGAGATGCGGGAGATGCGGGAGAGACAGGAGGCGGATGAGAGGAGGAAAGAGGTGGGCAGAGGCCCAGAGAAAGAGGGGATGCAGAGAGCCAGAGGAGGGATGCAGATACCCACAGAAGGTTCAGGGACACAGAATTAGAGAGATGGGGGAAGGGGAAAAGGCCAGAGGCAAAGAGAGAAAGAAAACAAAATAAGTAAAGGCAAGTCCCACTGAGGAAATTCCAAGAGGTGAGAAGGCGCGACAGGAAGGAAGGTGAATTGACTTCCATCCCTTGGCGTCCTCATCTCCGACACTGTCCGGCCCATGCCCGTCTCCAGGTCCAGCACTCCCCCCATCCAGTCTTATATTGTGGTCCTCTGTTTCCTGTTCACCAGCTCCCTTGCCCCATCCACACGGGAGCCAGAGGCAACCTATTTGGGGGTTCCTGGCCTTGCCCTGTTCAGGGCCAGGGGGGCCAGGGCAGGAGGGCACTCACTTGACAGAGGCAGCGCTGGGCCAGCGCCGCCCCAGCTTGGCCAGTTGCTTCCTGGGAGAATTGATCCACAGACCCACCGGGAGATGGAGCTTCCCAAAGCGGGGGCTTCCGCCCTCCTTCCGTTCGCCAGATAGCATGGCCCTACGGGAAGACCACCGCTCCTGAAGGCTCGAGTGGTGGGGTGGGTAGACCAGGCCTGAGCACCAGAGCCCCCAGCCAGCAGCCTTCCTCAGCGACTTGAGCTTCTGAGTAAGAGGCCGGCAGGAAGGGGCAGGGGCTCAGACTCCCGGCTCCCCATGTCCGGGTGGAGGAGAGGATGCGGAGCTGGACTCCTGAGCGCCGGGACAGGTGGCTGGGGACGGTCTCCGGGGTCTGAGGGAGGAGTGGGCTTTGGGATCCCCTGTTCTTACCCTGCTTCAGGTCCCAGCAGCACCCAGGGGCTGGCGCCGTTGGCCTGGGCTGGTTTCCCGACCCCACGGCTCCTGTTCGGCCTTTGCCTCTGCCCCAGCTGCCAGCACTGGGTGGGGGACAGGAAAAGGCAAGAGGAAGCCCGGCAGGAAGAGCGGGGAGGGGGCGTCCTGTGAGGGGACTGGGCCTGGGGGGAGGAGACCTGGTAGGGCTGGCTCTGCCTGATCCCTGATTCTGGAATTACATCACAACTAGTTGCTCCCTTGGAGGACTCAGGGGGGAGACCTGTTTCCTGTCACCTCCTCCTTCAGACAGGAGACCGACCCTAGCGCTGTCCTCTCAGGGAAACAAAAGTGAGAATCAGTCCAGAAAAATGAGTCAGATACTTAATGAGATAATTTTTTATTTTTCTTTAATTTTCTCTTTTTCTTTTTCTTTGAAACCTCATGTTTCTTCTTATGGCCACTGTCACCACCAAAAAGGGAAGCCTTTATGAAATGGCTCACCTTCCCAGAGTGAAAGTAAAGTATCCTGGGGGTACAAATAGGGGAGCCAGATTAGGTGTCCGCCGAGGGAGAGGCACACCTTCCTACCCTCTCTCCACGGGTCTCCAACAACTAGCCAAGCTCCGCCCTGGGAAGCAAGCCCCACCTTGTTTCCGAAATCTGGTTCGGAATGGAAGCCCAGCTTTGAGTTCCAGAGCTCCCAGACCCCCTCCACCTCAGGTAGGCAGGGAAGCCCGGCCTTTTCTGAGGACAGCTCACGCGATGGCAATGCTGGCGACCAAGGCCATAGCGCTCCAGCCCAGCAGCCCTAGCAAACGGCTTCTCAGAATATGCCTCGGAGACTGAGACAACGGCGGGATCTGGACGTCGGTGGTGGTGTTGGCGCTGGACGGCTGCTGGGGACCCTCCTCCTGGAAGGGGCCTTGATCAACCTCCTCATTTTCCCAGTACTCCGAGTCTGTGAATTCGACGTTTACTGGATGTTCCACATTGACTTTGCTGGGCAACACTGACAGAAGGAGAAAGGGAGCAGTCCCAGGAGGGACGAAGGTCCCTCTCTGTCCAGGGCAAGTCCTCTGCAGCCCAGTCCACCCCAGGACCCAGGCTCTGCCTCCAGTTGCACGGAGGCCGAACACCCAGAAAAGGCAGCCTGTCACTCCGGCTGAGGCCACGCCCAGGGCAGAAGCCACACCCAGAGCCACGCCCCCAAAGGAAGCCAGCCCCCACGCCCCCAGGACCCTAACTCCCAAACTTCTCTCAACTCCCCAGCACTGACCGTGGACGCGAAAGAACATGACTGAGGCCGTGCGGTTTTGTACCAGGCCCAGCTCGCAGCGGTAAGTGCCTGCATCCTGCGGCTCCACCCAGTACTTGGTCAGAACCGAGTGTTTCCCCTGGGACTCCAGGGTCTCAGTGTTGTTTGGCCAAACCTAGACCCAAGCTCAAGGGGTCAGAGAGGCCTGGAAATTCAGGAGTTGGGGGTGTACAGGGAGGGAGAAATCGCAGGGCCTCAGTAGGGAGAGATGGGAGTCCAGAGGGCATGGGTTGGGGGAGTTGGGGGTCAGTAAATCCAAACCTAGGTAATGGGGTGATGGGGTCTGTGGTACCGGCAGGTGGATACAGGGGCCAGGGGTCCCTGGGGACCTGCTGGATTCCAGGAGTTGGAGGGACTCACCTTAAAAAATCTGTAAAGCGTCAGGCCTTGAGAAAGTTTATGCCAGTTCATCTCACAGTCCAAGTTCAAGTCGTCTGTCTCATGAACGTTCATGGTGCGATCTGGGAATGGGGAGGGGGTTACCATTCTTGATCCTCCCCCAACTCCTGAATTCTACAGGCCTCTGTAACCCCTTGAGCTTGAGGTCTAGATTTGGGGGAACAATTCCATTTGATCTCGGGCCTGCCTTTTCTTGTTGCAGTCTCCAGTCTCCCTCCCTCCTTCTCTAGACTCAACTCTCCCTGACTCCTGCACCAAGCCCTCTCACTCACCCGCGCAGATTAAATCTTTCTTTTCGCAAGTGCGAATCTCCTTCTCGCACTTACTGCACTGGGTCACAGCCTGCAACATGGTACCTGAAGGGGCAGAGTCAAGGCTTGTTCATCCACTAAAAGGCAGGGTTAAAAGGAGGTTAAAAGGGCCAAGGCTGTGTGGGGGCCAGGAACTGAATCCTGAGGCTGTCAGTCCAGGGGCAGCTCTGGGCACAGCCAGTACCAAGCAGGATGTAACACAGATGGGTAAAGTGCAAACAGACTATGACCCATTTCCCAAGAAGTTCGAGGTGCAGAAGAAATACCAGAATGAAGAGATACCGAGACCCAGAAGGAGGAAGCTGGGTACTCATTGAAGTCGGGATGAGGGACAGAGAACCATCTTCCAAAATCCAAACTCACCACAAGTGTTGGGACATAAGCCTTGGGAAAAATAAAGAACTGAGAGTCAGGTTAGCAAGTTAAAGGAAATGAGAGCGGAGCCAAAGGGCGAGGCTGGAGCTGGGGTTTACCCAAGTCCGAGAGAAGGAGGCCCTGGGTGCCTAGACCCATGGGTCTGAGGGAGGAAAGGGCGGTGGCCAAGGAAGGACCAAGCTCAGAAAGGCAAAGGGCTGGGGACAGGGACCCGTGGGTTGTGGAACAAAGGGACCGAGGCCCCAGACTCCCACCTGCCCTCACCTTTGCTTTGGAACTCAGCCGTCATGTTGGCAAAGTTCAGCTTTGCCTGGTTCAACATCCCAAAGATGTCTTTTTCGAAGAACTCATCTGGGAAGAGGCAGGATGTGGCAGAGGCCCCCACCCCCGCCCCAGGTCCAGGAGGTCTGGCCCCTGCCTGCAGAGCCTTCTCACATCAGGACAGGGAAACTGAATGACCACTTCATGTAGTGCTGGCTGCCAGGTAAGCAGCAAATGCGATGAAGAAATTTCACTATGATCGCCATTTTAGAGACGAGGGAACCATGAACTCCCTCTCTCCAGGGAGGAAGGGGCAGGGCTGAAATTTAAAGCCAGACAGTCTGCCTCCACAGCCATTACCAGGCCATCCAGTCTAACCAGGTGTCACCAGCAAACACATTCCTGGGAGATTCTGGGACCCCTCCTCTCCTGCCCCTTCCACAAATTTACCAGTTTCTCCACTCGCTATTATGTTTTTCACATCCTTCAGAAACTTGAAGACTACCTTTTCCATTGTGGGTTCATCTGTGGGGGGGGAGACAGTACTCCAGATTCCAGCATTACTGTCTTCTGGGCAGGCACCTAATCTTAGAAATCACAATACCCTTGGAGTCACTAACAAGGATAGGCCTGGTTAAGGAATTACACACCAGTTCCCTGGGCGGGGAGGGAGTGTGTGTCCTTTTATACACAAAATTGCAAATAAGGGGAAGGATAACACAGTATTTGCTAGCCTTGGAGAAATCTGGAATTTTCGACTCCCAGAACTTGGGAGAGTGAGCCTCCACCTTTGCTCCCTGCACCCAGCAATAATCCTACTCCCAGATTTTTCTTTTCATTGGTCTCAGGGGTCTGATTTTGCACTGCTCTCTCTCACCAAGGATCCCCAGATAGGGGCCATCCGGGAGGCGCACTTGGCTGAAAGACTTCACTTCCTTTGTGAACTTATCCATAAATGATTTCACTGCCTTTGAACTCATGCGTGTAGGCAGGTACTCTGACGTCAAGAACTTTATCTCCGCCTCCACCCTCGGATCACAGATGAGACAGCCGGAGGCAGAAGGCGCGCAGCTGGCCAGCGCCGCCACCAGGAGGGGAAGCCTCAGCCCCATTGCGGCCAGAGGGTGGCTTCCGTGCAGACCCCCAGGGAGGATCGTCTGGCTCCAAACTGAGAAGTGAATGCTAAACGGAGAGAAACCCTTCTGCTTGGCCCAGGCCCCCACCCGCTCGTAAACCCAGGAGTCCTGATGCACCTTCAACGGCAGCTGCGCCGCCTTGCTCCCGACTGTCCTTCCTTCCAACACTAGGGTGCGCTCGAGAGCCGAACCCAGGTCCGGAGGGCTTTTAGAGAGGACAACTGCTTTCTCCCCCGAACGAAGTTAAAGAATTTGGGGGGGTGGGGGAAGGGGGAGTTTGGTTGCGAGGTATAAAGAGCTTTTGCACTGGGGTCAGGTCATTGTTCGCCTAGGTGCTAGGATCTCCCACTGTCGCCACCGTTTTGCTTCGCAAGCGGAGCCCGAATTCCCCAGAGATAAATTCCCGGAGTTTCCTTGGCCCCGCCCAGAATCCCAAGACTCTCGATTTGATTGGACCAACCGAAGGGCGGCCCCGCCTATCGCTCCTCGACGTCACAGAGCGGGGCGCCTCTTCAGTGTGGAACTTCACTAGCGTGTACTCAAGGGGAAGTACCCTGTCTGCGCTGGTTTCCACAGCCCAGGGATGGGCTTCTGACCTTCAGTTTCCTCCCCATGCAGAGCGCGAGGACTCAGACTTCCGGCCAGACGCCCAGAAACCCTGGCGTCCAGACACAAAGAAGCGGGGAGCAGCCCTTTCTAGCCCTAGGACCACGACTCCCAGAAGACTCTGTGGTCTCTCCTTAGGGTAATCCTACCTGATTATAGCAGCAGCCCACATCTTTATGGGAAATGTAGTTCCAGACGTATACTCTTGGCTCACTCCCCACTGCAACTTCTCTCCCCGGTGTCTGGAGCTGGATGCCAAAATCCCACAGGAAAGGGGACCAGTACAGAGGGTCCCAGCGAAAGGATCTGGGTTTCAGGGCTTTAAGTCGTAAATGCTCTCTTTTTATCTTTCTGCGTGATTGAAACAGGTGACTAGAAAAACTCCTGGCACACAAAAGGCTGCCAAGGTCTGAGCAGGGCCAGTACCTGCAGACCTGAGTAATGAGTCCCTGGAAATGCAGCAGCTTTCCTCTTAATCGCTCACACAAGTACACGAGACTCAAAAAAAAAAAAAAACCAAAAAACCTGCAGAGACAGGGTTGATCTATGGACATTTTAATACATACCTCCTCCCCTGACCTGTGGGAGCCCAGTAAGGAAGGGTTTTCTGAAACTCCCTGAGAAGACTAGATGTGGGGGGGGAGGATGTCAGATACTTTAGATGGGCGTTTAGGGAAGATGAGAACAATTGACCATAATAAAAGTGTCTTCCTGGGCTTCCCTGGTGGCCTAGGTGTTGAATCTCAGCACTGTCACCTATGCAGCTGGGTTCAATCCCTGGCAGGGGAGCTGGCCCTCAAGTAGTGGTGGATCTCTCCTGTCTTACCTCTGCTCCCTTAGCAATGTGTTTCACTGGATCCACCCATTCTGCTCCCCACCTTGTCTCTGATGAATCCTCTCATTTCCCACTTCCCATACCTCTGGCCTACACACCAGCTCTATACAAAAAAAAAAAAAGTCTCTTCACGCTTAAAAAATGTCAAGGAACTCCTGAAATCAGTCAAGAATCCAATTCTGGGTCAGATCCTGCATACCCGCCTGACTTTGAGCCTAGTTCTGGGGTCTGTGAACCTTTGGATCCTCTCATTCCCGACTCGTCAGGAGCCCCATTAAGGGGTTCTGTGAATTCTGGGTCAGATAATGGTTGGCAAGGGACACCTGTGACTCATTGCAAGGCCAGAGGACTCATTTGTGGGACTAACTTCTAGAAAATGACTGCTTTCTCCTTCCCTCCTCGCAGCCCAATGTCCAGCAGGAAACTCCTTCATGAGACAAGGGGCCCCAAGCTCAGAGCCAACATATGCCGTGTGCAGCCATCTTTGCACACACACCTGTCTTGAGTCTTTGACCTTAAAAACTAAAGTAATCCAGGATTTCTAGAAAGTCTCGCTTCAGAAATGGGAGACTTTCTGCAGCCATCCTTCTCCCTGCAGAAGTCTTTGTGGTTCCCCCAAGGGGCTAAGCAGCTGTACAGTCAGGGACTGCTGTCCCCCAGGGGCCCCGCTACAGAGGCTGCCTCTCCGGTCGCTCTCTTTCTGGCAGTGGTGAGACACTGTGCTTATGGTGGCCGAGCCTTCATGAGATTCTCGGCTGAAGCGCTCTGGTAAGCTAGATCTCTGGTCTGCAAGGGCCCAACAAGGGCATTTGAAACAATCTCTGTAGAGCAAACCCCCCTTCTAGAATCACTCCAGAAATGCAGAGCGGGCATCGGTGAGCCCTTGCTCTACAACACCTCTGAGTTCCTTGGGAGCCAGGGTAGAAGAAACATCTCTAGAAAAACTCAAACCCGAGAGGAGACAAGTCTGCGTTAATGCCCACCCACTCAGGAAGGAAGGCAGCCTCTGGCTTAAAGATCTTCAGGAAGCTGGAGCTGGGCAGGGTGAAGTTAGCCAGGTACACAGTATCTCCGCCTGCCAGGTAGGCGGCCCAGAAGCCAAAGGTGCCAATGGTCATGATGGTGTGGTTGCACTGTGTGAGCAGGGCAAAGTCCTTCCCCGGGGACCCTTCATAGCCATTGCCTGCAAAGACTACGTCCCCCTGGGACGCGTCGATGTTCTCTCGGCACCAGGCCATGCCGTTACTGGTGACCACGAAGATGGGGGCTTCGTGCCGCGCCCGGAACCAGTCCATGGCTTGCTGGAGGTAGGCACGGTCCCCCACCACACCCTTCCAGCGCTGGGGCATGATGTGCAGATAGTCCCCCCGGCGCACGTGGACACCCACGAAGGTGCGCGGCCGGTCTCCGGTGCGGCCCAGGCGGAGCTGACTCAGGAACTTCTGCGCCTCCTCGCGCAGGTGGTCGTGCAGGGTGAACTCCTGGCGGATCTGCTCCCGGAGGTGGTGGAAGAAGGTCCAGGAGCAGGGGAAGCCGGTGAGCTTCAGCACCGGGTCCCTGAGGTGGGCGTACTCCTCCGACATCCAGTCGTGGAGCTCCAGCTGCCGCCAGGGCGTGCGCCTGTCTGCCTCGGGGGCCAGCACCGGCAGGGAGAGGCGGAACACGGGGGCCAGGGTGGCGTGCATGGCCGGCAGGATGAAGGCCCGGCGGCCGTTGAGCTGGGCCAGGGCCAGCAGGGTGGCGTACTGGCCCATCTGATTACCGAACCGGCCATCCGGGTGGACAGTCCAGGTTCCCGAGAGGGAGGTGGGGTGCTTGGGACAGGGGACGGAGGCGTTGGGGGCCTTCGGCGTGCCTGACAGGCAGACGATGGCCACCGGGGATGTCTCGCCACACGAACACAGGGCTAAAAGGTCCAGGCCTCTGTAAAGGAGGGCTTCGTGGATGTGGAAGAAGAAGACGACAGAGAGAGCACAGGCCAGCAGGAAGGCCAGACAGAGGTGCCGGTGGCTGGGGGCCCACATGGCTGCAGAGGGGGAAAGCAAATTAGCAGGCACTCGCGCCTCACCAGGTGCCCGAGGTCAGAGGCCAGAGAGCAGGCCAGGATGCTCCCAGCCAGGGAACGAGGGAGCCAGAGCTTGGACTCAGGGGCTCAGTAAAGGGGGTCAGTATTAATTAGCATCCTAGGTCTGAGGGAGGAGAAGCAGGAGGCTTGTTATTTCAGAGGATGAAAGCTGGTGTTTTCCATAGTGCAGCGTTCCAGGATCCACACATCCCCCCACATGGTGGAGGCTCTCGGAAGTGAGCCACAGTCGCACCAACTCCTTCCTCATGTGTACCTGAGTGTGAGGACGAGCCCACCACGGCCGAGCCCACCACGGGGACCCCACCACAGCCGACCCCACCCCACCACAGCCAACCGCAGTGCAGCCTACCCAAGCTGCCGCGAGCAGAGGGCGAGAGGACGCAGCCCAGGGTTGACTGACGGACTTGTTCTTTGGGAGCAGGAGTTAGAGGATGGGGCGGAGGAGACTTCCCTGGCCTCAGGTTAGAGGCTGGAGACAGGCCTCCGGGAGCCCAGGCCGGGCTTCCCGGCCCCAGGCAGGGCAGATCCCACTCACCTGAGCGGAGGATGGGGAGCAGATCCACAGTCGGCGGCTGACCGCGGCCTGCACCAGGCCGCCCCCGGAACCCCAGACTCCAGGTTCCCAGGCCTAACTGCGCCGCCTCCCGACACCCGCTGGGAGGGCTCCGGCAGGGGTGGACGGAATGGGGCGCGGTCTGAGATCGCAGCCTCCGCCCTGCCCTGCGCCGGCCGGCCAGGTAACTCCGAGACTGAGCCCGCCCCTCTGAGGCCCGAGCCCCGGCGCCAGGGGATAGGGTGGCAGCTTCTCTTCCCACCCCACTCTCGTCTCCCCCCGAACCCCCCCAGATCGGGAGGCCCGCGCCCGGCCCCCTCCTGCTCGCCCGTGCCCAAGAGCCCCCGCTGCCAGGCTGAGCCGGGGCGGCTACCTGCGTCCCAGCCCGCATCCTCCCGTGAGCCGGAGGAGTCCGGTCCGTCGTCCTGCCCCTCTCGGTACCTGGGCTCGCGGTACTTGCCCGCGCCGAGCCCCGCCACGCCCCAGGCCTGGCCGCCGCCAGGTCCCCGCGGGCGGGCTGATCCTCGCCGGCCCCGCGGCCGGGCAGGCACAACCTGTTTGCCTGGCGGCTCCCGCGGCGGAGGGGAAGCCTCCCCCTGCTCCCAGGGTCTGGGCCTGGCGCCTCCATCCTGAAGGTGGCCCAGCCCACCGGGGGCCACGGGTCCCCGACCCGCCAAGTCCACCGGGGAAGTCCGGAGCCCCGGCCCCAGCTTCTCTTCTGGGGGGATTCCAGTGCCCGACGCTCCGTTCTAGCCTCCAGCGGTAGTTCCTGGAGGCTGCCTCTCCTGAGGAGGAGGAGGGCAGACTGGGAAAGCCTGAATGAGGTTTTCCCTTCCCTGCTCCACTCGGCTGCGCCTCAGGCCCAAAGCTTAGGCCTGGATCTCAGCTCTCCTGCAGACCTGAGGTTATTTCCACTGGGGAAGCCACTTCCCAGTCCCACCCCCAAACCTGGCCCTAAAGTCTGACCATTGTCCTTCCACATGTCAAGGTCAAAGATTCAGGCATTTGACTTGCCCAGAAATTGTACAGTGTCAGGACTTTGAAGCCCCCAACCCCCTCCTCCCTCTGGCCCAGGAGTCCAAGCCCCCTCCTCACTGAGACCAGCTGTCCAGTCCCGTTCTCTGAGGGATTCCAGGGAATTGTCCACCCCCTTGTTCCCAGGACACCTGGGTCTAACCTCCCACTCCGGAGACTGGCTGGTTGCCAGCCCTGAGTCAGAACTTCCCACTCCCCCTCCTTGGCTCTCCCAGGAGCTACTATCTGGGCCTGGAGTAGCTTCGCTGGTGAAAGGAACGCCAGAATTGTACCAGGGAGATCGAAGAGCCTGGGACATTCTGTGTCTGGACCCCGGGGTCAGGGCTGGGGGAGGTTGAGGTTGATTCTTGGTCAGGTGAGAAGCTGACAGCCCAGAAACCAGAGTTCCTTTGAGGGCCCAGCTGCTGTTTTCCTGCTGACCAAGGAAACTTGGGGTCTGACCCAATGGGATTTGGACATTCTAGTAGTGAGGCATCATCTACATCACTGCTCAGGGGAAAGAAGCTCTTCTGAGATCCAGGAGCCCAGGCCCCAGCCCATGCCCCCTCAGACAGGGGCCCAGGCCCCCAGCCCTCCCACAGGCCCAGGAGCCCAGCCCCCCCAGCCCCTCCTCCCTCAGAGCTGGGAGTCCAGGTCCCCAGCCCCCTCTTTCCTCAGATCCCAGCCTCCTCCTCCCTCACACTGGGCCCCCAGTCACTTTCTCCCTGGTTCCAGTTAATCAGATCCTCAGAGCCAAGAGTCCAGGTCTCCAGATGAAAGGACCCCCTGATTGCATCATCCGTTCAGGCTGACCTGGCCACGGTGGAATCCCAGCTCCTGCCAAGTGGGTCAAATATCATGGGTCAGGCGTGGAGAAGGTGATTGGGCGGGTCTGTCTAGATATAAATTCTGGCACTTCTGCATCCTTCCCAAGAGACTTGGGTGTGCTGTTGGCTGGGAACCCACATACAGGAGGGCCCAGGCAGCTAGGTGACCGGCAACTGTGAATCTGCTCTCCCAGCCAGATAGGATCTGAAGCAGAACCTATACCCCTCAGCACTTCAAAGCCCAGACCCCGGAATTCGCCTGCAGACTTGAGCCATTGATGGACTGGGCGGGGGCCAGGTCTGAGCACCGGGGACTGTGGGTCCCTGTGCTGGCCGCGTTGCTGCTGGGGGCCTCCCAGGCACACCCTGTCCCTGACTCCAGTCCCCTCCTCCAATTCGGAGGCCAAGTCCGGCATAGGTACCTCTACACAGACGACGCCCAGAAGATAGAGGCTTACCTGGAGATCAGAGCCGACGGCGCAGTGGCGGGAGCTGTCCACAGGAGTGCAGAGAGTGAGTGTGGGCTAGGGCCTGGCCCTGAGGGAGGGGCCTGGACTCCTGGACTCTTGAATCTGAGCAAGGAGGAGGTGGAAGCCTGGGCTCCTGGGTCTGAGGGAGGAGGGGGCCGGGACCTGGACTCCTGGGTCTGAGGGAGGAGGGGCTGGGGGTGCCTGGACTTCAAACTGACGGAGAGGGGTGCTGGGGTAAGAGCCTCAGAGTCCACAGCCACTTTCTCCCCTCAGGTCTTCTGGAGCTGAAAGCCCTGAAGCCAGGGGTCATTCAGATATTCGGCGTGAGGACATCCAGGTTCCTGTGCCAGAGGCCTGATGGGACACTCTACGGCTCGGTGAGCTACTAGGATGCCCCTCGTTGCCCTCCACCCATCCTTCCATCACTTTTCCCCTCTGAGACACCGTGGCCCTGGGTCAGGCTTAGGTTTATGGTCTTTGGCCTGCCCCCACCCCAACCCCAACAGAAACCCCTGGAGGTAAACACTGTTGTTCCCTATGTTTTCAGGAAGAGGAGACTGTGGCTCTGGTTGGGACACCACTGTCCCCTAGCCCCAAGTCACTGGGCCTATAAATGGCCAGTGGCCTGGCAGGTCGACCCTGGCTCGTGCTGGGTACAGGGCCACCTAGGTCAAGGCCCTAAAGTGACCGTGACCTAGGTGGTAGCCAGACAGCCCTGCCTGGCCCTGGAGAGCTTTGCGTAGTCCCTGAGCTTGGATGCTGCTCTCTGGGAAGTGCAGGCAGGGAGGTGTTTGGAGCAAAAGAGAGAACCTACTTTTCTGCTGGTGTGTGCCGGGCCAGGGGCTGGGGCTGGACTCCTGGTGTGCGGGAGGACGCTAGAGATAGCCCATGTGTCTGATCTCTGTTCTTGTGCCCTCAGCTCCATTTTGACCCCGAGGCCTGCAGTTTCAGGGAGCTGCTTCTGGAGGACGGATACAACATTTACCAGTCAGAGGCGCTGGGCATCCCGCTCCGCCTGCCCCCACACCGCTCCCCACCCCGGGAACCGGCCTCTCGGGGAGCTGCCCGATTCCTGCCGCTGCCAGGCCTGCCCCCAGCCCCCACAGACCTTCCGGGGATCAGGGCCCCCAAGCCTCCTGACGTGGGCTCCTCTGACCCTCTGAGTATGGTGGGGCCTTCACAGCGCCGAAGCCCCAGCTACACTTCCTGAAGCCACAGTTTATTATCGACTCTCCTCTATTTATTGGGTTATTTATATTATTTATTTTTATTTTTCTAACTTGAAATAATAAAGCGTCTGAGAGGAGGATTGGCGTGAGCGTGTGTGAATGTTTGTGGAAGGGGACACGGGATCTGTTTTCACCTCTTCATTGACCCTCAAAGTCCCCCCATCCCCCCAATCCTAGGCTATTAAAGATCCCACATTCTCCCTCGGTTTTGAGCCCCTCTCAGGCACCCCAGAGACGCTGGACCTATCCCCGCCCTTTAGCAGGACTGTCTCCCTCTGTCTCCCTCTGCCCCCACCTCCTGTTAGCGACTTGTGTCAGAGCCTCCTCCCCAATATCTGACATGCAGGCCCACAGCCTCATGGGAGATGTCGTTTTCTGGGCTCATTTCACACTAGGAGTGGTTCTCAGTGATGGAGCAAGGACTCCTGGATCCCAGGATACCTGGGTCCCAAGAGAGCAGGGGAACAGGAATCTGGACTCCAGGGTCTGAGGGAGGAGGGGCTGTAATTGGGGAGTTTCAGTCTCAGGAAGAAGACTGGGAGCCTGAGCGCTTCCGTCCAGGTAGCTTTATGGACTTTGGAGTATAAACACCATCATCGAATCACTCCCAAGAAGCCGCCTCTTTCCCACAGGGGACATCTCCCTGTTGCTCTGCCAGCCATTTCCTGGTTGGGAGCGGCCTGGATGGAGACACTAGACAGAATGCGCCTCCTGCAAGTCGGGGCAGCACCCCTGGGCCCAAGCCCCCCTCTGGGGTGCGGGTGCATCTGGCTGTGGAGGCCTCACAGGATCCTTCTTCACACCCTCCTGTTAGTTCCCAGGCGTGAGCAAGAGGACCATCTTAGTCAAATAGGACGTAAGTGTATGTCCGAGGGAAGGGCTTCCACTCCAGAGGAAACGACCCAAAGAGAGGGAGACAGAAACATGGGGGAGGGGGCAGAATCCCAGAGGGAGGTGTACGGAGATCCAAAGAGGGGGGACAGCCGGCAGGGCAGGCCAGCGCAGAGAGAGGAGGGAGACCGGAGCCCAGAAAGAGGTGGCCGCAGACCCGAGAGAGGGCGCAGACTCGGACACAGGGGAGACCAGAGACGTGAGGAAAGGGACTGAGACAGAGGAGACAATTCCGGCAGAGAAACCCAGATATGGGGGAGAGAGAGAGAGAGAGCAGGAAGTGGGAGCAGCGGGACAAAGAGGGTGAGACAGGGCGTGGACCCAGGGAGCGACCGACCGGGATTCAGAGGAGGCCAGTTCAGAGCAGGAACCTGCAAGATGTGCTCGCAGGCCCAGCCAGCCTGGCGGAGCCTCGGAACTCTGGGTTCCGCGGAGCCTGCTCTCCGGGAGAAGCCCCTTCCCCATCTGGGCAGGGGTTAGTGTCCCGAGGGAAGAGCCTCCCCTGGGGTTGCTGCCCGGCCCAGGCCACAGATATTCCCCAGATCCATGTCACCTCTTGGTGCTTCTAGACTAAGCCCAGTCTCAACTCCCTGCAGATCCCGTGGGGTGGTGGTGGGGTGCAGCTACAACATGGATTTGACAGTGGTCTGGGGGGCCATCCTGATCCTAATGTCACTGGAGAGATTCCAGGCTCTAAGGGGCTGGTGACGCTGCTGCTCTTTGCCCAAGACCAGGACCCGGAGGGATCCCCAGAGTGGTAGTCTCCCTTTTTTT